GGGGGGGGGGGGGGGGGGGGGGGGGGGGGGGGGGGGGGGGGGGGGGGGGGGGGGGGGGGGGGGGGGGGGGGGGTACTACGCTACGCGCCTACCTCATACGACAGCGCCGTCCAACCTAACCCACACATGCAAGACCGGCAGCCACTCTGCATGTCTACACAATCGCTTAGACCACACATACAAGATCGGCAGCCGTACCGACTAACTTCTTGCACATCTTCTCCCTATCCGAGCCCCAAAATTTCTCCAACTGATCGCGTACCAACACAGTAGTGAACTACAGCACAGCATCAGTAATTGTTCCCTATTTTCCTTCCTTCTGGTTGACCGCGCAGCCCTCTCTTCGAGGGGGGGGTGTCGGCGGTGTGTGGTTCGGGCGGAAGGTTGCTATCGCTGTTGGCATTGGTGTTGTCGTTGCTTTCTCGTCTCCTCGCTCCAGACTCCAACCTCTTGTCCCTCTCTTCGTACACTGCACACGCGAGACATGAGACGGTGGCCAACCGATGCATGGACCATCAAAAGTTAGTGCTGGCCTGTGCTGATGTGGCTTGCGGCGGCGAGCATCAAATGCCGTCCTGGCTGCTAAGACGTGTCTTGATGTTCGCTGAAGGCAAAAATCGCTGCCAAGTTGCACACATGGCAACAACAGGGAAACGATTCGGCACGCGAACTCATGGTGCGTCGCCCTAAAGGCCCAGCACGTCGAGCGATCCGCGGTCCCCAAATCTTCGTTGTGATGCTCGTTCAGCTCGATAGCGACAAACAACCACCACCCGCGGAAGAAAAGAAGCGCGGTAGGCACATGATCGTAAATGAAGATCGCAGCATGTCACGTCACTAGGTCATATCGCCGTACCGCACAACACCGCGCCGTATCGTATCTTACCGTAGCGCACTGCACCCTACCGTACCGAACCACACCATTCCCCATCATACCGTAGAGCACCCCTCCATACCGTAACATACCGTATCGTACCACACCGCGTACCGTACCGCACCGCACCTAACATAAACATCTTGTGGCCACCATCAGGATTCGGCTTGTGAGCCTCTAATATCGCGGAATCATCGTCGCACAGGCGTCCCCCGCTGGTGAAGATGCGCTGCAGAACCGCACAACAAACATCGATGACGCATACAGCAGTAGGCGAGAGCGGCAGGCGCAAGCCGATTAACGCGGAGGAAGAGAGACCTTCTTAGGTGGACCCGTGACCAAAAGGAGGGCTTGTTTCCTTTGCTTCTTAGAGGAGTGAGGGGCGAACATGAGATGGACACACGAAGGGTTGAAAGGGTAATAAATGCTGTGGTGAACACGAGATGAGCACATGAAGGATTGGAAGGGTAATAAAAGCGGATGAACCAAGGGTAACGACAGCAACAACTATCCAAGACTGCACAGCTGGAGTCGTCCCAACATTTCCGTGTGTAGAATTCTACTAACTCCGCAAGCCTTGAGACAAACAAGTGGAAATTGCAGAGCTCCGTGAGGCCTCTACCGAAGCGCTAGTGAGAGCCATCAGGTGAGTGACAAATGCTTTAAGCTTCAAAGTAACTTCGGGGTGTACTACAAGATGCATTTCATTAACGAAGGGTGATCAGGGTGGGTGCTGCCCTCTGGGCGGGGATGCTCATCAAAAAGTCGCACTCCTCACAGTACTGTCGCGCAAAGGAACGATAGCGTGGGGGACAACATACTTACCAAGCACGCACGCTGCCGTGATGTCGGTTAACTGTGTAATTTGTGGATCTGCAACAGAGAACGGGAAAACGTGATTTTGCCTATGTACCCCTTCCTTGAACCAAAGTGGGCAACGCTGACTCTACAAGTTAATTCGCGGAGCCACTCGTGAGAGGGTCGAACCACTCAAATTCCCGTTCCGACGCCGCCTGAATCCCGCAGCCAAGGCCCACGCACATCATGCACACAAAACGTTTCACGAGGTGTTGGGCACGTCCATAGCCCGAACACCGCACCGCGTCGCACAAGGCCTCAAATCGGTCCCGGTGTCTGGACTACACCCACCGAAATCAACCAGTAACGTTTTCAACCACGCACTCTTGTGTCTTTTGAGACCCAGTTTTTCGTCCTTTGGCTTCCCTGCCGGGCCTCAAAAATGAACATCCACGCCCTCGGTCTGCTTCGTGGCCTACTTTTTTTGTTGTTGTCCTGTGGCCTAAGGCAGTGCTAACCTCGAAAATCAATCCACCTCACCGTTCTGGCGCACAGTTTCTCCGGACGTACAGTAGTATTGCAACGACAAGTAATCGTATCTTTCACAACCCAGAACGCCGACCGCGGTGGGAAATATGGGACGCCTTAGGGTGTGGTATCATTCACAAACACAGCAGACGCAACACATCTCTTCGATTGGGGCCGTCTCTCGAACATGTACTTTCTGTGCCGAGATGTGCAGCAGTTCACTGAATAGTACCTGCAAAAATATATTTCTCTTGAATAAGGGCTACAGCAGCAAGCATGAGTTTGTCCGGGACGGACGATGGATGCGGATCAACGCAATTCGTGCATCCACAGAAAAAGGAGTTTCCATACATCTCCTTTGACTGATGTGGAATGCCGTACATGACACAAGATAACACACACCCTGGTTTTCAATGCCCGATTACTCCACGACGAATAGGATGCATAAACGAAACGATACATTTTTGGAAAGCTCTCGATGAGACTGGTCCGACGCCGCCGTTTTCGGCGCCGTGACTCTTTCTGTTGTTGAGAAATCGAGATTTGAAAATCGGTCCAGGGGGTGTGTTATCTCGTGTCATTTACGGTCCGTAATAGGAATATCGAACGGGTAATCTTTTTGTAGTTATTTTGATTTCATTTTCTTAATATGACCCAACGAATCCCTCCCTAAGAAAATAATCTAAGATAGGATGACAATGGATATTTATACTTGTAGCGACAGAGAAAGCCACCTGTATTTATTTTAAATAAATACACAAACAGAAAGATTAAAATACCCTTTCAATACAGAAAGATTAAAATACCCTTTCAAGAATATACCCACAAAGTGCACGAGTAGCGATAAAACAGTAGTGTGCATACAGACACAACACTTTCTGTTCTAAGAACGATCTGAGGAACGGTCGGAGAGAGATAACAGGTCGAAGGCCTGTGACGCGTGTTGCAATCGCTCAAGTCGCGCACACCTTGCTCCGTCGCATCGCAGCTCTCCTGCCGTCTCCTAAGAATGCTGTCTACGTCGGTGGTAAAGAAGCAAGTTCATGTGTACTACTGCTGTTGCTGTCCTACGCGGAAGCTGCAGCCGTCGAATTTTCGAATTCCTTTCGCAAAAAACCCTCAAGAACCGGCTGGCAGTATGATATCTTCTCACTTCGGGCTTTGCAACGGTGCCTGCTGCAACCAGTACTTTTGTTGTACCCATGGCGAACGCTACCACCTTGGTCGAACTTTGCCCCACGCACCCCTTCGTAACGTTCGCGCATGCTCATACTCGCCTTACTGCTGTATATAGTCGAAATAGGTGCGAACAACCTCCACCGTTCGAGATTCAAAAGGGTGCCCTGCATTGAGACTGAATGGGGAGTGATGAGTGATGAGTGATGGTGTTGGAAAAGATGTGCACGCCGGAAGAAGAAGAGCAGCAGCGCGCCTGACAAAGGTGAGCACCGTGCGTGGAAACCACTGCTTCAGCTTCTCTATGACAGCTGAACCCATCGCCAAACACCACGAGCCAAACAGCGCGCGTGCGGGTGCCTCGTGTTTTTACAGTACCTGGTGGATCACCGGAATGTTTGTCTCCGAGAAAATTGCAGATTTCAGGTCGCCGACAGTCTGCACGTGGTCCTCGAACGTAAGCAGGCCGTCGCCCGGCAAGTATGCAAAGCTCCCTCCAACCTTGACAACCATTCTCCCCCTGGAAAGCCGTGTGTGTAGGTCTGTGATGACACAAAGGACTGCGTGGCAGGCGGCAGAATGCGGCCCAATTTGAATGGTGGAATTTCATATGTGTGGTACCCCCATATGGCCATCTGTGTCTCCCCCACCTCCATCAAACACCAAGCAGCAGAACACCACGGGGAGACAGAACCATTTACTCTCATCCATTTTCAGCGCCCGCTGGAGCACATGCCCCAGGATATTTCGCAGGTGAGTGCTGGCTTTGGAAGGGAGAAGTACAATCTTGCTTCGAAACAGAATGCTCGCTCACGACTGGAGAGCAGGGGAGCACGCAACGTACGCGTGTGTCGTGTCTGTTGCACTTACATGTTCCCTCTACCAGCACTACTAACCAGTGTTTTGCTTGACGTTGAGCGGCTTGCTGCTGTGGTATGCAGCTTCTACAGCTGATGTTGTTGTGCTGTGGGTGGCTGCTGCTGCTCTGTCGTCTGCGGGATGCCCAGGCAAAAGTTGGTGCCTAGAGTAGAGCGGGATACGACAGCCATGGATGGTGTGCGCTGCGATTGCGTTCCGTACCGCTGCTGACACAAACTTGCTGTAAATATGCTGGTACTGCTGTAGTAAACAGATCTTCAATAGACTAACAACAAGTGCTTCACCAGCATATTACCGTATATGACACAAGATAACACACCCCCTGGACCGATTTTCAAAGCTTGATAACTCCACGACGAAGAGGATGCATAAACGAAACGATACATTTTCGAAAAGCTCACGACCAGACGGTTTTAACGCCGCCGTTTTCGGCGCTGTGATTTTTCCTGCAGTTGAGAAATCGAGCTTCGAAAATTGGTCAAGGGGGTGTGTTATCTTATGTCATATACGGTAATCCCTTTGGATCTACCACTTTTTTTTTTTGGGGCGAAAAAAAAAAGGGAGGAGAGAGTGCGGGGAGAGACAGAAGTACAGCAGAGAGAAGACGAGTGTACTTCTGTAGACGCAACAGCTATCTCCACCCATAGGCCATGGGGGCTGCCCGCGACAGGACGGTGAACAGACAGGATCATAGAAGGGTTGATGCGGTTGCGGTGCGGCCAGTAGCGCAGTTTCGGCTTGTAGACCTCGAAAAGATCAATCGTCAAGCCGCCTGAACTACTCTATTTTCAGGATATTCAAATGATCAGTGAACATGACCAGTGGGAGGGCTTGTAGACGCATTGCTGGTTCTTGTACTTCTGTACTTCTCTGTCCCCTCCCCAATGTGTGCCCTGCCTGCTCACTACAGCTCCTGTGATTTTCCCACAATTCCCACAAGCACGCAAGCACACACCAGCACACACCTACCTTTGCATCAGTGGCTCTCTAGGTTCGGGCGAGGGTATGTGAGGGGCTCTGCTGATAGAGTAACACATACAGCTGATAGAGTGTGCTGGATCTTGGGAGTGTACGATTTTCGAATTTGGAGGATAAGCAGCATACCACGATATCCTGGCCTGTTTGGGCTTGAAGTGCCCCTTGTCGCTGTCCTCCTGTCTTTGCTTTTGTGGCCTCCTAGATTCGGGCGAGGGCATATAGGTGGAGCTATTGATGTGTGTCTCTGTGAACGGATATGGGGAGACATTCATTGTGGTATTCGCATTTTGACAGTGTGCATTTTTCTAATTTTCGCCGTTCCAGGGACCTTGATATTTCCCGCTGGCACTATTAACGTCTTTTCATTGGCCACCGGGTAGCGCGATCGATGCGAATAATAAAGACACACCTACCTATTGACTTGCCAACACCTGGCGTGGGGGGATACAGGGCGGCAACTCCATGTCATGCCACAACACCAGCATTTACAAACAAATGATCAATCAATGATAGATCAGTCAGGACGCCTGCAGACCCAAAAGGGTTGGTAGTTCTGTTTCCTTTACAGCTGGCTGGTGCAGTCTCTCGTCTCTAGTGGTGACACCCTAAAATACACCCTAACTCCTACTCTGTACAGCAGTGCTCAAGGCAAATCGCGTATTGGTGGTCTGAGCGCACGGCAGGCCTTGTAGACTTGTCGTCAAATTTGGGCACATCGGCGCTCTGTTGTTTTTGGTCTCTCTTACACGGATCTATTGCACTGTTCTAAGTAATAAGAAGTTGATATCTACGCGAAACCAACGTAACAGCTTGAGGATCACCAAGGTGGAACATGTGGAGGCCCAGGACTACATGTAGACTGTTGTGGTACCTACAGCAGTAAACACTCGCAGCTATACATTTGATGGGAGTAGCCAGACTCTCTCAAAGCAATTACGCTGTTTAATGGCTTCACACCTCCCATTTCTGTTGTACCTCGCGTACATAATATAGTTCCGATCTACGTACAATCGTATTTCTCGTGTATTCTTGGAGTACCGGAAATACATTTCCAGCTATTAGTCTATTGGAACGCGTACGCCTTCCGTGGTCAACGGCTAACTGATCTTAATAGGGTGCATTTTTTACATGACATCGCATGTGCCGTACATGTGCTTCACGTTTGTTTGCCTGCGGCCGCGGAAGTAATTCGTACGTTTTATGTTTTCCTTAGCACACTCAGGAAAAAGAACACCAGGTATGTACATGGTATGTACAATGTAGAATTTAGAAGATTCTGCCGTGCAGACAGTAACAACATGCGTAGTAACAACATGCGTTCGGTGTGTGTACGTGCTTGAGAGCATGCCGGCCACGATAGGCTTGCGCATCCTCGCTTTCACATGGCCAGCGCGGGCATGTCATGTCATGTTGTGCTCCTGTTCTACTTAAACGCCTTTGTTTGAAGTCCTGTGCTGCTGCAATACTCTGTCTTCGATATTTCAACCTCATCCTTTAGTTCACGTAGCGCGCTTCAAAATGTACTCCTATCACACACCCATTGTCGTACAAGACGATCCCGATGGAGTGAATTGTCGCCCACGACTTCTGCTCCGTTCCCGCCAAATGTCTCCCGTTGCCCAAACAACAACCGACCCACAGAGAGGCTAGAGGACGATTGCCACGAAAAGCCCGAGCAGAAGAATATAAGCTTCTTCTCTTGTTCTCGCTTTCGTGAGCGACCTCCCCAATTCTTGGCCGCGGCGGCCTTGGAACGGAGGACCTAAATAACAAATGCCGAACAACAATGGCTACGGTCCGCAGACAAGCCAGGCCGAGGACGGCAGGGGGGACTCGGAGGGGAGACAACAGCTAGGATCGGAGGGAGGAGGGATCGGAGGGTATGGAGAAACAGGGGCCGCGGTGAGCTTGGGCCTCAAAGAGACCCCTTCGGATCAAGTTTCTACTCCGCGAGGAAGGTTGGTGCTTTTTTCGTGCGTGTGTGTGTGTGTGTGTGGGTGTTTTTCTTGTTAGCATCAACGGCGCTAACCGGTCGATTAAGGAAATGACGTCAGTCTCAGCGCGGTCGAAAACAGAAAATGCTTCTACAGGCCACAATCTGAGACCCTGCGACCGAGCGTCATGGGGGAGGGCATGTTACTCTCTGGGTTTAAGAAGTAGTGTGTGTGTGTGTTTTTGTTTTTTTCTTAACCTTAGTAGCATCGACCCCCGCTAAGTGGCTGACCTATGAAGACGTCAGTCTTGTAGCGGGATAAAAACATGAACACTTGGGAATCGAAGGGTAAAGGTTCTATCGACATGTGTATGTGTGTATCGGCATCGGCCGCGCTAACGGGACTGACCAATGAAAATACTTGTTTCCCAGTTTGGCAGAAGATAGAAAAAGCTTCTGAACGCCATGATCTGGGTTCCCGTAAGGGGGGGGTCATTGGGGAGGCTAAAGCCACTCTGGATGAAAGACAGATATGGTAGCAAAACGAGAACTGCGCTTGTCTTCCAAGGCTTCTACTCAGCAATCGTGTTCGCTTCGGACCGTGCGTGTGATGTTTTTCATTGGCACTTCCTCCGGAGGTATGCCGGCTGGGCTGCCGCACGCCGATTGCTCGGTAGTGCTAGTATTGCTGCATCTCGTCCTGCCGGCCTTGCAGCGAGCGAGGTGGTTGCCAGTCGACTCCACAGAACTTATCCAGGGCGATTTGGCCGGCCTTATTTCTGCGGCCTTTTGAAGCAACCACCACGATTGCTCTCGTCGCTAGAGCCTGACGTACTCCGTATGTTGGGTTGTGATGTATGACGCCGTTGAATAGCTGACGTTTGCTGTTCCGTATTATGGTGTCCACCTTCGTCGATATCTTTGTCTTGTATCCGGTCGTGATGTGTTCAGTCTTGGGGATCCAAAACTTGTTCCATTGCTTCTGCACCGTGTTATTTGCAGCACAAGAACGACTGCCATGCGAAAATCTGCTACCTCTGGTTCGAACGGGTTCTAGACGTTGGACTCTCGCGTTGGTGAGAAGAGCAAAGAAGTGGTAATACAGCAGAAGCTCCTACAGTGCATGGAGAACAAGCAATTGGTCATACTGCTGTACCTGTGTATAACATGAAACACACTGGGTCCAAACGTCGTCACCCCCCGAGGGTGGGAACCCCGTGTCTGCTATCTTTCACGGCACGTGTATGTCTTGGACAAAAAGCATGGAGTCTCCATGCTGTCGTCAAAACTATTTGATAGGTACCAACAACAAAAAGTTGCCGACGAACACATTTGGCTGTCCTGGTAATCTGGGGTGCTGCTGCTCTCTGGTTTTTTCGACGACCCTTTTTGTTGCACGTACAAAATCCCAACAATCCGACGCAATCAATCGAGCACGTTTTCTTTTGTCGGCGTCAGGTCGAAGTCCTTGAACGTAAAGGGTGCGGACAACGTTCTCGTTCCCGAGGTAGGGACGGCGTCCTATCATGTGGCCCTGGCGAGCGGGAGTGGCGAAGCCGCGGCGGACGACCTGTACATGGAGGGGATAAGCCTAAGGAGAGGTTTTGCTGCTGAGTTCATCTCCCACCTAGAGGTAGAGTGAAGCTCCCGGACGCGCATGACACACCAGCTGGACTGGTTGTCGAAGCTCCATTTCTCCACGGCAGAAAAAGTACACAGCGTGGCAGAGAGTGTCAGCGTTTGAACCGCCATCTATCGTCGAAAGCGTTCCAGAAAATTGCATTCTACGTCTCATTTGTCGTGGAGTAATCGAGATCTGAAAGTCGGTTCTGGGCGTGTGGTACCTTGTGTCACGTATGGTGTATGGTATGGTGGTAAAAAAAGATTTTCTGACCTTGGTCTCTTGTGTCCGGTGGGGGTGATGCCCTAGGGTCACCTGGACGATGCTTTGGTTTGGTTGGTGGACATGTTGCGGTTGACTCCTTTGCCGCGGTTGGTGTGCTACTATGTCGGGAGCGTAGGTGTACCACCCTAGAACGGTGAGTGTTGTCGAAGCAGCAGGATTCAAGCGGGTAGGCTAGTTGGACTTGCGCCAAGCAAACTCTTCGCCGTGTTTCGGCCAGAGGTTGTCGCAAGGTTAACGGAGGTGTACAACAAACAAGAGGATAAGGAGAGCCAGCTCTTTGCCAGATTACGCTTGTCGTCCATGGGAGTGGCTGGACTGTGTGGTCGCGGGTAGCTGGCACGTACAATATGCTGCATTCGTCGTTGAGCTGCTGCTGCTGCTGTCACTGCCATGCAGCACACAGTAAGCGAATGTCTCGCAGCTCACGGTGTCTGACCCCCGCGTACGTCGCACAGAAACCTTGTGGTGATTCTCGACCTGAAGGGAATTGGACAGACAGCGGCATGAGGGATGTAGTAATTCCCGTTGCCTGCCCCCATTTGCTAGTTTAGTCAGTACGAACCGCGGCGTCGGAGTATGGTAGTGTCGCGCCCATGTGGGTATATATCGGTCGTACCTATCGTATTTATCGATGTCTTCTTTTCGTGGCAAACGCCTGAACCTGAATGGTTCATTCAGGTACCTTCGCTCGTAAAGTTGCTCAATCGCACCTGTCCGCCAAAACCATGATGGCTCATACTGCCGCCTTCACCTTGTCGAGTGGCTCAATTCTAACTTATCACCTCATCAGATACGTGACTCTCGGCTGTTCCCATCCATCCCTTACGCCTTCCCGTCAGGATGACGCGCGAAACCTCTTCCTGTTCGACGACGATGACTTCGCGGTGAGTGAGTGAGTGAGTTACCGGTGCATGCAATGCCATGCCATGCAGTTTTGTTATTTTTTGTCTTCAATTCAAATCAGCGCTCGAAGCACTTGTGCCGTTTCCTCCAACCCGTGGTCACGCAGAAGGGTTTCTCTCCCTGAATTCCCCTACCAACCCTTCCTGCTGTACACTTTGCCTTCGATTTTTGATGCTATAAGAGCGCAGCACTCTCTTCCCCCTATGTACACACGAACTAAATAGCGCTTTGCACCCAGGCCAGGAGCCGAAGCGAGAGAAAAAGTCACTTAGCAAGAAAAGCTCGCTTTCGCCGGGATTCGAACCCCTGACCCTGGCCACTATTGAAGTAGGTTTTTCGACGATACCAACTAGACTACCTGACCGACCGGCGTCCATGCCACAAAAATAGGCATGCACGCGAAGCAATTGTGGACGAATGAGAAACATCTATGCATAGAACGATCAACCTCTTGCAGGGGGCAAGATGAGGTGGGATCGTTCATCGCGACGTAACGCAGAAACAAGTGAAGGTATTCCCGCAGCGTAGTACGTGGTAGTATGTTGGTGTAATGTAAGGACAGGTATCAATTTCCGAGTCACCGTGAGGCAGATCAGATGCGGGTGTCCTTTGGTCTGACTTGGTGGCCGAGAGAAGGCAAGAGGATAAGAGGATAGGAAGATGGCAGCGATATCAAGAATGAGCCGCTTTGTGAACTGTTCTTCACACTATTCACTCATTCCAGAATCGAGCAGTGAGGACACGATCGTATTTACATGTTTTTATATGTTTTTTGTTACCTTTTCTTACTCTTGGTTTGTGGCGCTGTACGGTAGGAGGACAGCGAGACGGCCCCGCTTTGGCCAGACAAGGGCAGGGGCGGAGGGAAAGGGAAGCCGAGGCTAGAGAGGAAGGTGTCCTCCAGGTCACAGGCAGCCGTGTCCAGGGTAGTCGTAACGTTCCTCAAGAGCATGGTCGGAAGCTACATCCTCTACACCCCCAAGGTGCCTACCTGCCTGCCTACCGTAGCCGTCGCTGTGCCTCTGCTGCGCGTTAGATGTCACGTGATGTGTAAGAAGGGTTTATCTAAGGTTGTAGTTTTTCGTTTGCGGGGTGCGGTGGTACATCCGTGTGTGGTGGTTGGCATTTTTGCTGCTCTAGCGTGTTGGGGCTCACAGGGAAGAGACTCCTTCCTGCTCTAGTCGTGGGAATTTCACAGATGATATCGATGATATTGCTTACAATCGCACCCTATGTGGGATATTTTGGCGCAGCTGCAGCTGCTGTTGTGGATATGTAATGTCGCCCTTCTTCTTTTGTGCTGGGTGTTTGTGGGATATGGTGTCTCTGCTGCTGCTGCTGCTGCTGCTGCTGCTGCTGCTATGATAACGAGGTGTTATGCCGCCCTTGTGCTTTTTTTTTATGTGTGTGGTTGACGCGGCAGATGTTCCAGAACGGTGGCCTGACGGCTTCGATACTGAGCCTGCTCTGCGCAGCTTGGGTGGCTTGCGACAACATGATCGTGCTCATCCGCGTGGCCGAGAAGACTGGAAAGAACTCGTACGGACAGGTGAGAGGAAAGAACTCGTACGGACAGGTGAGAGGAAAAAAAATCGTACGGACAGGTGAGAGGATTGAAGGATTGATTTCAATTAAACCAATCCTTATCCATGTCGGCGATGCTGCAGCTGCTGCTGCTGCAGTTGTGGTTTTTGCTTGTTGCGAGGTGAACGGGAAGTGGGAAACACCCTGAAGTCACGGCAGCGTACGTATGTATGATTGTGCATCCATCGCAAGCACAAGAGCGGGTTAAGGCCTATATTTTTTCCGTCCGTCGAAATTCTGGTTGTTTCGACTATTCATCGTGGGGATGCCACTCTCGACCTCGCTCTAGCTATGGGTGTGTCAGTGTTGCCATTGTACTGCCAGGACCAAGGGTAAGGCTCGCTTGGCGTCCTTTGGGTGCTTGGAGAGCACAGGGGTTGGCCTTGCTCCCTCCAAGTTATGCAGGTTTGCGCTCGTTGTCAGCCAAGGTGATCTAGCGTTGGTGCGCATTCGAAGGGTGTGTCTCCTTAACGGCACTCATCTCGGAAGCCGTATACACGATGACTGGACTGCCCACGCGAAAGAAAGAACCATGTTGTTTACGAAAAAAGACCAGGCAGGGGGGTGCGCATTCTCCGTCACCTGAACCCTTTCCCTAACTTGGCCGATTCTACGCTTTATCCAGTATGTTTAAGGTGGTTAGAACAACCTGCTAGACTATTTTGAGATGACTCCTGTACCTTTCTTGTTCTTCCTTCCTTATGTGCAGCTGGGGTATGCCGTCTTCGGCAAGGTGGGTCAGCTGCTGGTGGACGTGTCCTTGGTGCTGTCCCAGCTGTCCTTCTGCTCCAGCTACTTCATCTTCATTGTGCTCAACATTCCTAGCGCCCTGCCTGTCCCACCCCCCGGGTCTCGAATGGAGTACCTCCTTAGTCCTAACGCCCTGGTCGCTATGCAGGTGACCCTGTTACACCCATACCCATAGTGGGGATATGGCCGGACTAGAAAATACTAAAAATCGTCATTATTTGTGTTATTTTTTTTTTGCCGTCCCTTGGGTGCTGTTTTGCGCCGATCCTCGGTACCGTACAGTATCCGCAGATAGCTCCCTTGCTAGCTGAACCTTCTCCGTTGCGTTGCGTGTGTTTTGAATTGAAGATGCGACGACGATTCGTGTCACCCTCGCATAGCTCACTCGCCACCCGCTACACTTAAACTATTCCTCTCTCTTCTGTTTTCGCTACTACTGCTGCTGCTGCTGCTGCTGCGATCGGACGAACCACCTCGCTCTGCGTCGACTTTTAAACAACCTACACGTACATGACGAACTGTTGTCCGCCATTCCCTGACTTGGTGGCTGTCAGCTGTTGGTCTACATCCCGATGGCGTGGATAAGGCACCTCAAATACCTCGCGCTGGTGAGGAATCAAGAATCAAGGGAAACGGGGTTCCGTGGTATGCTATGCTTTGCTATCAGCGAGACAAGGCGGCCGATATGGGCACTTGTTGAAAGTGCACCCTTGGCAGTGTTGCTGTCGGCTCATGCTTGTCACCGTCGTTGTTTGTTGTTGCCTACATGGGTGTTTTTTCACGTGACGGAGGCGTAATGTTCGCCAACGGCAGTTTGGTGTCGGCTCGCGCGGATGCTGTTGTTTATTATTGACTACACGTATTCTACGGTGTTGATTCATGTTACGAGGCTTAATCCCTCCCTTCCGTTTGACAATATTTCCAAGGGATAAAAGGAATAGAAGGGATAGACCGAGTCGAAGCGGAAGCAACACCCCTGCTTGGTCATACGAACCGAAACAAAACACTCCGCACCCTCCCGACTTTTCTGATTCATGCTCGCTGCATGGCCCGCCGGCATGACATCCTTGTCATCGTCATGTCATGTCATCGTCAGGCGATGTTCGGCGCCAACGTGTGCATGTGGTTGGGTTTGATCCTGATCGTGGGCATCGATGCGGAGTTGCTCATCAGAGAGGGGCCGGAGCCCGTGCTGCAGTACAACCCTGATACGTTCATAATTTTTTTGGGGGCCGTGGTGGTGTGCTTCGAAGGGATTGGGCTCGTCTTGCCGTTGCGGGACAGCATGGAGCCGCACATGCAGGTATGCATTGGTACAGCAGTACTTTTGACGCTGCTGCGCTTTTCTTCGTTGGGTTCGCTGATGTTACATCGCTGTTCTTTCTAGTAGCGCCATGCATGTACACCTGGCTGATTATTCAACACTCGTTTAGTTTCGATGGCCGTCTTCAATCGTTGTGTGTTTCCTGGCGCCATAGGTATTCATCCTCCTGGCCGATTTTCAACCGTTCAATCCCCATCGTGGTGTGGTGTATGGCGCCATGGATGTTCTACCTGCTGATCTTAGTGCAGTGGCTCATCTCATCTTCAATCATTTTTGTTATTCCATACCTATCAATGCACGTACTCCGCTGACGCGGTGCGACGCTTTGAGTTGTCTGCAATGATACCAGTGTTACCGTTGCTAAATGTCTTGTTTGCTCTCGGCGTGTGGGGATTCCCATCTCCTTGAGTGCAACACCCTACTACAGAAGTGTAGTCCTTTTTTTTTGCTGACCTAGCTCGCCTTCCTCTCACAGCCGCTTGACGAAAACGGGTAACGAGAAAGACAGCAAATTCTCGTTCAAATATAACGCCTTGCATGCTTTGCAACAGTGCCGGGTGCCCGGTTTATTGCCGGTGAAATGTTTCGACACATACCGGCACTATAAAGGTCCCTCGACTGTATCCGGAACACGGTGTACGCGCTTTAGAACGCCTCTCTCCCTCCCGTCTGTCAGATGTCGATTCTCGGCGCGTAGAAGTCCCGACGATATTGCATCGATTTTCGATCTTGCTGTATGGCGCACGAATAAACCAACCCAGCATAAATTTCCGGGCGTGATTCGAGTTGCGATGCTCTTCCTCTCCATCGTCTTCTGCTTATTTGGTTGCCTAGGCTACATGGCCTACGGAGAGAGCATTGAGGTGAGGTGACAAGACAGCATTGACCATTGCTGTTTCTGGAAAGATTAAGAAGCGTTGACGTGTTATTGCAAAAAAAATAAAATAGTGAAAAACTTCGCAGTTCACCGTGGGTGTTGCTGACGTCATTCGGTGATTTTTCTGAAAGTATCGAAAAACTTGAAAACGGCCGTGGATGTTGCTGTCGTCAGTTGATGATGTTTCTTGAAAAATTCAGAAACTTCAATATTGACCGTGGATGGTGCTGACGCCACGTGGTTGTTACTCATCTCACTGCTTGTGGACGACGATTTCGATGCATTCATGATGAGTTTCTGATTTTTTCTGCTCCTTTCTAGGGAGAATGGCTTAGCGTTTGTGTTAGGGTCTACTCGCGCCCTACCCACTGTTGCTGGTGGTTTCTGTCGTTACGGAAGCCGTTTGTTTCGACCTCAATCGAGTACGTGCGCATCTGTAGATTCCAGAATGCTTGCGTGAATACCCTACATCATGCGAACTTGTCGGGTGATATCGTGTGGGTGTGAGCGGTTGACCAGTGCTTGAATACTCCCCTCTCACGACACAAGTCCCTGCATGTAGCATACCTCTCTCTCTTATCTCGTCCCCTCTCTCTCCCCTTTGCTCGCGTTTTTGATTGCCTGCTTTCGTTTTGTTTTATCTGCCCCATTCTATCGATGGATCCTAACGATCCTATGGATCCTACCCAATCGACAAGACGTTCGTGACGATGAACATCCCGGCGGGGCACCCCGTAGGCGCTCTGTCCGTGGGTCTCTACAGCATCGCCATCATGATGAGCTACCCCCTGCAACTATTCCCTGCGGTCAAGTGCTTGGAAGGGTGAGGGCCTAGGGATATCGAACTCACACAACGCTTTTTCGACTCAAGACTTAATCTCCTTCAAGCTGTTGAGAGTTGAAAATTGAAGTGTCAAACGATACATATATACCAGCATGAGTATGTGCTGTGCGGTAAGCTGTGCAGTGCACCGAGATGTTCGTTGAGTGTGGTGTTTTGACAGGTGCATACCACGTTGTGGTGACCCCGGCACGGATGGGCACCGAACAAGTCTGCGCCGGTCTTGCAATGGCCGGACTCTTTGAATTTTCCAAGCACTTATAGATGGGAAATCCTTCAAATATTCCAAGCGTGGCTTCCTCACTCGCGGGTACGTACGCAGAATTACCAAAAAGTTGTTGAGAAGCAATGGCGATGCAGGGGTCAGGCGGGGGTTCTTGGGTGCACCATTGTGCGGCACGGGAGGGTGGTCCGTTTGCCTCCATAATGCTACAGATGTATCTTCAATTCTGTCTTTTTCTGAAAGGATTTTTTTGGCTTGCTGCGTAGTGACACCGACTCGAATGTGCGGTGCTTGACTGAAGCTCTTTCCAAGGAAAAATACTTTGAAAAGGGACCGTAGTACAGTAGGTGGCCCGATACAGTGGCAACTTCAAGAACGGAACTGCCGGTATGGTGGCGTCAATATATTTTGTCACCATTTCAACATGTAGACGAACCCGATACATCGAATAGTGGCACTGCCCTGAACAGTGGCACATTCTCCTCTTACCCCTACATGCCACGATGTCGGGCCACTTACTGCAGAACGTTTTGCCGTCGCCAAGTCTTGTTGCGGATTCTGAAAACCGTCTATTTGATGTCCTCTTTTTTTTTTTTCATGGGACGCGTTGTCCTACTCAACATGAAGCTTGACGTCGCTCTTTGCTGTTGGTTGCCACACCACCCACCACTCTGTTGACAACCAATGCATGAAAAGAAAATGTTGCGTCGTTTCATGCCTGAAACGGCAGACACCTGTTCGGCGCAGTGCGGCAAAGGAGCTTGCTGAGGAAGTGGCTCAAGAACACCCTGAGAGCTGCCGTGGTGCTCGCGACGGCCGCCTTCGCCATGTTCGTCGGGCCCAGGTGCGATTGTAAACGGTACAGCGGTAGTATTGTATGCATCCTAAAGCGACGATGTTGTGGGAGCATTGGCCTCGGGGCCTTGGCGGAAACTTGCTCGCTGTGTGCTCGCTGTTGTTTCTCCTTCAAAACACAACAAATATTTCATCTCTACGCAGATGAAAAAAATACGGGGTAAACTACCAACGATTTTTTGTAGTGTCGTACGAGAGCCCACTTGTACTTCTAAGGTTACCCGAGCAGCATATGGTGATATCTCCCCAGTGGATAGCCGGCACAACAAGACAGTGAGGTAACCGTCTTGTGTATCTGACTACCATGTGTTATGCTGGGAAGGTGTAGAGGAAGAAGTTGGGCGATTGTTATGTTAGTTGTCGTAACCTTGGCTGAATGTCCATAGCAGAAAACACATCGTCGGTGTGGGTACTTTCCCTAATTGTGTTGACGTGGCACAGTTGGATGTTGATTGGACGATTTTTTTTTTTGCTCCCATCATTGGACTCTGTCGTCTGCCCCTCTGGTCCCATATCATCCACTTCTACCAGCTAGACGACCCAACCGGGGTCACATAGGAGTGGGGGGTTGGACCCTCTCCTGCCGTTCCTGCCTGAGATATTTTCATCGCGAGAAGGGCCCAGCAATCCCTTCCCTAGCGACTCACGAAGTCGATCACGCTTGCTAACAACGCGCTTTGCAGCGCGTCGCTCCCAACGGAGACCAGGATTTAATTAGCGAGAAAAAACTCACTCTGTCGGGAATGTTGCTTACGCGCTCCTTTTTTACGTCGCGTTGTGCATCGAGAAATATATGTATAGTACATGCAATGTAAGCAGGGTTGGGCAAGGCAATCATGGGTCCTGCTGGATATCTTGAGGATTCCTGGCTATATAGCGGGTATTTTGAGGCAAATGGTACCCCAAACCTGGAGACAATGCCAACAACTCGAGCGGTTGCGGAACGCCCTGCCGAAGCGGCACCAACGCGGCGAAATTAGACGAAACCGGCCGAGATATGAACCGTACACGGTGTGTTCCGGCACTTCAAATATACTCCCCTCCTCGCGCAGGGCTGCCTCCAATCCGAGGTCCGATTTTTCCTCTCGATATGCGTGGTTGGTTACGCTAAGTATTATCCAGCTAGAACGGGACACGACTTGCACTGTGCGAACAGGCGGCTGGCGGCATGTGCCGAATCCTTGTGGAAATTGGGAGAAGGGTGGGATGCTTAAGGATGACTGCTGGATTCGTAATGGAGGAGGATTGGATGCGTAAGGAAAACGATTTGAATTCGTAAACGAGAGAAAAAACTGTACAGCAGTGTTTCTTCTTCGATTGCTTTGGCCGTTTGCTACTACTTTGTGGTATGCATGCACAACAGCAGAAACAAAATACAGACCAGAACACAGCAGCAGTAGAAGTTGAAAATGAGGCAGACGAGTATCCTCCACATGCATTGTACCATCGTTCGCAGTTCCAACTACAGGACTAACTACCCCGTTTCGCCCTCATCTCTGTACTCGTGTCCTGTAGAGCGCCGATCCACTGTCAAACGGAACATAATTAACATCAGCTCTCCACTGCGTGTGGTGCTTATTTGCAAAGCTCGAGAAGGATCCCACCGGCCTTTCATTCCCTCAAGTCCATCAACACCTTTAGTCTAGCATCAGATTCGAAACGCGGAATAGACAGGCCTCGCCGGAACTCGATTGATTCCCCAACCTTGCCGATATTGTTGATATTTTGCTTTGGACGAGACCACCTCCACTCTACATGAAGTACTTCGTACATGGCTTTGGTAGGACCGCCTTTTTTTTTCGTGCATGATCTCGTTTACCACAGTATACGACTCCAACCACACACAGAGATCGGATTCCTCGGTTGAAACACGGGTCGGGTGCAAAGCTATATTGGACGGCATTTCACTCGGCAACAGCCCACACTGACGTGATCTGTGCCTGCTGCTTTCCCGTATACGACCGGTTTGGTTCGTGTACTCCGTTGAGGCCCTCGAAGTACGTATTTTGGCCGGCCGCACCTCTTTCGTTCCGATCACCCCGGAACAATCCTATCTCCGAAAAATACCGAACCGTGTCCCTCCGGCTGTTCCGACGGTCTATCGGCACGTGCATCACTCCCTTTCCTACGTTCTTTGAAATATTTCACAACGAATCCATCTCTGTCAATAGACCAGGGTCCAGGATAGGTTAACAATGGGTTCGCTGCGTTTTATGGAGCACTACCTGTGTCTCTATGCATACGATTCCCCAAGCAGCATACAGCGACAGTGTCTCCCTTGTGTGAAACAGGCTCTCCAAGATATTTCGGTGGCAATCTCGTGCATGGTACCATATACCACGTTACAAGGTCTCCCTTCGGAACGTGGGTGTCAAGCCTCCCGCGGGTGAGGCAAAACCACATGCGCATTGCCCGAAAAAATGAGGGCCGACTGTCTTGTTTTGTGGGCATTTTTGTGTCGCTCGTGTTCCTCGCGCACGTGGTTATTTCACATTGGAGCCAGCTCGAGCGGCCAACAACTTTCCAGCAAAACTTGAACTCAGACTGCTATGATGTCTTGGCTGATGATGGCAAATTTCCATGAGAACCGAACCGAACGTGAATCCGAAACAATACCACAAACATGTTCAACACTGCGGGTACATTTGCTAAGGCTTGTCTACCAGCCGCGTTCCACTTGGCGCGCTGAGAAGCGTAAAAGACCAAACGTAGGTATTGTCGGACATTGCGATGAGTCACAGCAATGTGGAATCAGTGAATCAATGAACGTGGGAGACGATAACGGCCAAGAGGCAAATATATCAAAAACTGATGGGCTTCAGAATTTGTTCACCAGGCTTTGTCTGCGCGGAACAAACGCTCGAGGTATTGAGCCAATTTTCGCAACTTTGGCCGTCAACCACACGCGCCACGGAGGCCTACCGAGCTCCAGGCACGAGCGTTAATGTACCGACAAGCCTCGTGCGTGCCCCTGAGAAAGAATTGCCAGAAAAGACTCGCTGCCGCGAGGGAACAAAACTCAGTGACCAAATCTTATGTGTACATATGGGAAGGTGTAGAAGGCAGGTGTTGTGGTGACCACATCTCTTGCTTTCCTTGTTTTGTTCTTTGCGCAGCTTTGACAACTTTGCGGGTCTTGTGGGAGGCCTCTGCGCGGTCCCGCTGGCGCTAGTTTACCCCTCGGCCTTGCAGCTGAAAATGATGGGGGACTCGATGACCATGCCGGAAAGAGCGTGGGCGTGGACGGTGTTGGTGCTGGGGACCTTCGGAGCGGTCTTGTGCAGCTGGCAGTCCATCGCCACTTGGAAGTGAAGTTACGGGAGGAAGGGCGAAATAGTCGGAAAGTGCCCATGAGCAGATGTTTTACCTCCGGTCCGTTCGTTAGTTCTCACGCAATAGGAGCAGCAAACAGCCTCATGTCCAGCAAGCGACTCGCTTCATATTGGACTGAGAGGTCTCAGAGGTGAATCAGTCGTGCTGTACGCATGTACGTGTGGTGACTCGAGGGAACGTGTCTCGAACATATGTGAGTGGGAGGAATTAATGGTCGCCCGGAGTTCGATAGTGTGTTTTTTACACTTGTTCATGTGCCGGTTGCGTGATTTCGTCCATTTTATGCGCGTGATTTTCAAAGTCGCGCACTAGAGAACATGGGAGCCGCTTGATCTCAGTAGCTGTCAAGGTATTGACTTGGCGTGCGACTTGATCTCAGTCCACAGCAAGTCAGGTTTGGCTTCCTTCCGTAGAGTCGCGGTCGGGTCACGTCGGGTCGGATCGGATCGCGATCGCTGGGAGGGGCCGTGGGCTGTGTTCCACCATCCCATCCCATCCCATGTCGGAGCATCCAAACCATATGTCAGCATCTCAGGGGGCAGACCCTCCGTGTAGGTCTAGCCTCATTCCGTCTCACGCTATCTTCGGCCTGCCTACATGCATATATGTGCGCTCTGTAGATGTGCATCAACCACCGACATCGCGGTATCCGGTGTCCCGGTACGGTTCTAGGCGCGGCACGGCTCAGTGGGAGGTATTCGGTGGTTGTGTGTGGTGTATTTGTACTGCCGGTGTTGAGCTTGGTGAGTCTAACCTAGGTCTAGGTATGGATAGGATGGGCGACGTGACAGGGGCGATGAATGGGCGAGGTGCACGGGTTGACTGTCGACTGAAGAGCCTTGTTGCCACAATGGCTCGGGGGCGGTGGCCTTGGACCTCCAACTCAAGCTAGATCATGTTTCATCAGACAGAGGGTGGGTTGGAAACGGAAAGGAGCTTGGCAAGAGCACCAAGTTGAGCGTTTGCGTCGGGTATCATGTGCTCTTGCACGGGTTGATGGGTGATCAGAAGATTTGCAAGGGCCGCCGACTATGTAGCAGAAATATTTTTGCTTGCGTTGCCCTTTCCCGCTACAGCAGTCCAAGCCCGCTCGTTGGGCTTTTCTTTCGGGCAGATTGAAAGGTGCCGGGATCCGAATGGCCGAGCATTGTTTGCGCTTGAGGTGTATATGTACAACTGACTGCTATTGCGATTGAACGAAGAGAAATGAGACGTGTACGGCGCCGACCTTGCAGCCGCGCGTGAACCTGTGGTGCGTTGGTGTTTGTAACAATAATATTTATCTGGGAACACGTAACAGCTCCAGCCCCCCTTTTCGAGCACCCTATGCTGGTGGTAAAGGCTGTGGTACGGGAGTGAGTGCCGGCCTAAGCACACTGTACATGATGGCGAGAGCCCTGAAAGCGAAGAGTAACAAGCATCCATCTTGTCGCGGACGTCCACCAGACAGCTACCAACAAGCACCCGGTCAGACGGTCAAGCAACTGAAGACTAGAAGCGTGCTCGCTTGACACCCGTGCTGTCTCCTGGAGCCACTGTCAATTGCCTTAATAAGCCAGTGTCACACTAAAGCCTTCCTTCTATCTGAGGCCTCAACATCCGTCTCTGGCTTCGGGGTGTCTTACTCTCTTACAAAGTGTTGACGTCATGGCTACCCTACGGAAAGCATGGAGAATCTTCACGTGGCCGGCTCTTCCGAAATTTGTCTCCCGTCGGAACATCGTGGTTGGGGTGACCCTACAATATCGTCCGTGCACATGACCCAACCGCGTACGAACAGTACCAAATAGCTCTGGCATTGAACGGAACACACCAAAACACACACACTTTCGCAAGAACAGTCTAGAACGACAGCTCTGCAGAAACACACACGGAAGCAGAGAATCAGTCCGCAGACATAAAAGTCATAGGTTCAAACACTTCTTGGGGTGGATTCAAAAGCGGTTGTCGTGGCTTCTACTGCGGATTAGTTGTGGACAACGTCAAGCCTCGGTCGAAAGGAGGTATCCTCCTGCTGCTGCGGAAAGCCTCGAGACTCCACCAATGGGCCAAGGTATACTGTCGCGTTGTCTTGACATTGACAACTGTTCCGATCTCTCTACCCAGTACCTTCATCTGTCCGTACTAGGCCAGCGCTTGACGCGGTCGATTCCCACAAGCTAACTTAGTCTACCCCCCATAAGGTATCATATTATCATAATGGACCCGGGGGCCCGCAAGTAAAACAAAATCAACCACAGACAGCCTAGAACCCTCCGCTAACCTATATAGGCTATGCGAGGTACACGTAGACTGAAACTCAACATCACGGGCCAGAGGGGTAGGCAGTAGGTTTTGTGGCTAAATCTTTTGGTACTTCGCAAAACGTAAGAGAGACGGTCATCGTCTGGAGAGAACGAAACAAAAAAGAAAAAAAAACGAAAAAGGGAAAAAAAGAGAAACGATAAAAAAAGGATTTGTCTATTTACGCCACCGGTGGCGCAATTTCTCATATGCGCATAAGCCACCGCCCTACGGTGGCACCGTACCCCCGTGGAAGGGCATATCTCGGCATCTACTGGTCGGATGGACGTCCCAGATGGCTTGAACGATGGCCATGGACGTCCGTCGACCAGCGCAATTTGTTTGACGTCGATTGGAGCTTTGGCCACGGTTTGGCCACGGAGTTACGGTGGAATATGTGGTTGGTGCCCGCCTTTTGATGCCGCTGAGCCCCCTTTTTCGAGCATAACTTTCCAACGACCGAATGGATTTTGCTTCAAGTTGGCTTGTATGATTGCTATGGGTCATAGCTACACCACAATTTTTAGTTTGTGCCAATTGAAGCTCTGTGGGCGGAGATAAGAGCGGTGGCGCATATAAGAAATTGCGCCACCGGTGGCGTAAATAGACAAATCCATAAAAAAAGGACGAAGCCAAGAACAGGCTCACCCCAGAACCACCACTTTAGCGACGAACAGACGAAACAACACCAAACACAACAGAACGAAAGGGGCCATCCGAGACAGCAAAGGCACGTCATCGCTCGTAGGGGGCCGGTGCAGTGGTGCAGTGATGGGGGGGAGGGGGGTGTACTCATAGTAGTCGTGCATGCCGTGTCGTTAGACCATTGACCTCGCATCCCTACAAAGCCGGGACGGAGCACGCCGGGTTCCCACCGGACCAGGCTCTCACATCAC